TGACATAATCCTATTACTACGATATTAAGATTTATAGTACCAACATGTGTCCAATCTAACCAAATCCCTTATATTTTGAAAAGCAATTTTGTCATCCAACATTGTTAATTACCTTGAGATGCCACAAATTATTGGTACCTCGAGGTACTTTCTAGTGTAAAATTTGGTACCTAGTAACTTCATGTTAGGGTTACAGATTAGGCATACCTCCTATCCTTGGGGTTGCGAAGCATACGAGTATGGTATACCCTCAGGTATTCGGGAAAGTTATATTGGATTATTTAGTTTAGTATTTTTCAAAATAGTATTAGTTCGAAATAGGGACCATTGAGGGATCTGTCATGTTAAGTAGTTGTCGATTAGTTGATTCATAGATAGTATTGAGAGGGTTCTCGTCCTGGCTGTGTGGTGAGGGTTTAGATGTGGAGTGGAGTTGGAATGATAAAGTTATGGTGGACTCGGAGCTAGTGCATCCGGTATGGCGAGCTGAACAACGATAACCCACAATACCTTCATTATGGCATCGCTAGACGAGTTCAGCAGATGTGACAGCTTTGGGCAAAAGCCTCTATGACCATTGCCAGTGATGTCGATGTTTGTGGACACCATTTCCTCCTTGGAGGAATCATGATAGTGGTTCTCTTCATTCACGTAAAAACCTAGTCCGATTACCGAATGGGTGTTGGCAGTGTCTTTGACGTTGTTTTTTCTTCTGGGAGGTTTCATCCAGAAGGTCCTACTACACAATCAAAGTGTTAGGTGGTTTTGAGACAGTTGTCCGTACGTCATAGGAAGTCAGAGCTGTTTGTTATTCGTGATAAGCTTGGGAAAGATGACTTGTGGCCAGTCTATGTAGTTGTGTCACCGCATGCTCTTTTCGCTTTCTATGTGAGATTTTGCCGATTTTTCTTAATTAACCATGCGTTTGTTTGGTTTTCTAGCCCATTTTTTCTTATAAACTAGGTCCATTCCTTTTTCTTCTTAATATAAAACATTAACTTCATGCCCTCCTTCTCAAGGTTTACCTAAAACTGATAGTACTGAGAGTTTGTGGTAAATAAAATATGTAATTGGAAATACCGTGGTAAAATATGCGTGGTCACATCCTTTAGTTTTTATTCTTTTATTCATACTCTTTGGGAGAGCCCCGAGATCAACTAGAAGGAATCTCCTTATAAGGTGAATCACATTATCATGACCATTGAATTAAGAGATTATGTTAAATAAAATAAGTAATTGGACATAACATTGATGTTTTAGTTTTACTATTTCCAAAATTGAACAATTCTAAAATTTAAAACTAATACATATGAAGTTGCACTGTCTTGGACTCTTAATTATATAAACAAGTTATTATTTAATTCTAAATTAGAAATTAACCACTAGCATGTTGTCCCTAACTTGGACTTTTCTTTTAATCCAATCTAATTAGTCCCTATAATTTCAAAAACAACCAACGTATTTACAGAATAGTATATGGTCAAAACCTAACAATTATAGTAACAATAACAATACTTTCTTGAAAATATTGATAATAATAGCCCATATGTGACACACTAGCTAGTTGGCTACTAGGGGAGTAGGGGGTCATTACAGTTACATAAGAAACATGCAAATAGTTGTCGGAGTTGTATGACAAATATAGTTGTACTTCTAAGTAGACTACTCCCTCCGCCCTCCGCTCCAAATTATAAGATAATATGCTTTAGGTTTGTTCTAAGTCATACTTTTTAAACTTGACCTAATTTATAAAAAAAATAATATTACAATATGCAAATATAACACCGAATTAGTTTCATTAAATCCACAATTGAATATATTTATGTAGCACATTTGTTTTGAGTTAGGGATGCTGTTAGTATATTTTTATAACACAGAACAAACTCAAAACATCTTATAATGTGTATGGAGGGAGTAATGTTACCGTGCAAATCATGTACATTCTGATGATTGATGTTCCTGCAAGACCTCTATGTAGCATCATCTTTCTAATGAATGGTAGAGAGAGGACCACTATCAAATTAATCTCAAGTCTTTCTACAGGGAGTCAGTTTCTAGAAGAACAATACTAGGGCATGTACAATGGTGTTTAATAACGGGCTCTCTTCGTTGTCATGCAAGTAAATTTGGTGACGTGGAAGAAAGAGAAGGAAGGAATGAGAAACATCGTTGCTACGCATAACAACGGCTCAGAGTCGACTCTTAGCATTTATTAACAGAAAGTTTGTTGCATGAGGGTATAGAAAAGGAAAGAAGCATAATAAAAAAATATTTAGTGCATTAATGGTTTAGAAATCTTATTGTCTCTACTATTGTAGAAGGATAGTCTCTAGTGATATTAATTAATATAGAGAGCTCATATTAGGCCCTGTTTAGATGGGACTAAAACTTTTAAGTCCCTATCACATCGGATGTTTGAATATTAATTATAAATATTAAACGTAGACTATTAATAAAACCCATTCATAATCTTGGACTAATTCGCGAGACGAATCTATTGAGCCTAACTAATCCATGATTAGCCTATGTGATGCCACAGTAAACATTCTCTAATTATGGATTAATTAGGCTTAAAAAAATTGTCTCGTGAATTAGCTTTCATTTATGTAATTAGTTTTGTAAGTAATCTATATTTAATACTCTAAATTAGTGTCTAAAGACAGGGACTAAAGTTAAGTCCCTGGATCCAAACACCACCTTAGTCTCTACCTTTGTACATGCCCTTATGAACGCGGTAGTACATCCCATTTGGTTGAATTAAGATTTTTCTGCGAAGAAGTTGAACTGCCATAAAAGGTAAGATTTGTGGAAACATTTGGAAGGTTCAAAGTTGTTGGAACAACTGAAAAATACAGTTATGTTTGTTGGTAACAATATTTGAGTACATATTTTATCCCAACAAATATTCGATTACAATTACTTAGTTATTACTTTCTCCGTTTCACAATGTAAGACTTTCTAGCGTTATCCATATTCATATAGATGTTAATGAATCTAGACACATATATGCATATATATGAATGTGGGCAATGATAGAAAGTCTTACAATATGAAACGGAGGGAGTATTGTTTAACGGTCACCGGGGAGGAAAACTCCCCACCTGAATCTTATTGAAAAGAAACTATACAAAACCTTCCCTTGGCCATCTGCTTTCAGATCTGGCCGTGGTCTCTTTCGGTGCTTGAGGAGTTTGTTCGTCCACGGTGTTGGTCTTGCCTGTCTGTAGTTAGGTCTCTTAGGCCTCGCCGGTGCTTCACGTGTCCTGTGGCTTATTGAACTCGTTGTGGTGCTGAGATTGGAGCGGTGTGCTTATCTCTCCATGGTGCGAGAGTTTTGCTTTGGCTTCTTAGAAGTTCTGCACCTTTTGAGGGAGTCCGGGGCGAAAGCCTTGCTTGCCCGTCTTCTGCGGTTCGCAGTTGTTTTGTCTCAGACTTTCTGTGTCTTCTGCGTAATGTTTTCGTCGGTTTCACTTTAGTATGGTTTTTTTTTTCGATTTTCCTTACAAACAGGTTCAACACTATCCTTTTAATATATTTGGCAATACTCTAGCCGCTTCCATTTTTCTTTTAAAAAACCCGATAGGCTGACAAACCAGCCGAAACAAGAGAAATACAAGAACAAGAAAAAAAGAGAACACCGAGGAACCGAGAAAAGGAGAGCAATCATAACATAACATAACATAGCTCGTGGGTCTCCGTTTAGAAAGCCATCTTCGCTCTCCCACTTCATCTTCGCTTAATTATTTGAACATTACATCCATAAGGCGTACGTACAGAAAACACAGGACACAGAAACAAGATATACTAACAAAAAACTTGCCGACACTACTACAGATCCGGGCTTTAGTGACGGGTCATCTGTGACGGGCCAACGCAACTCATCAAAGATGAGTCATCTCTGACGGGCCGAAAAAATATCCTCTTCAATATATGGCTACCAGGGAGGACCCGTCACAGATGTGAAGTCATCTGTGACGGCTTGCACTTGTAACCCGTCACAGATCGTCTGTGACGGGTCACAACCATGGCTCGTCACAAATGACATGTCATCTGTGACGGGTGTAGTATTATGAACCATCACAAAAGAGACCACTCATCTCTGACGGGTCTTTAACTAACACACGTCACAGATAACGTTATCTCTGACGGGTGGTAGTTATGACCCGTCAGTGATGAGTGAAAATTCAAATTTTTAAATTTTGCAAAAAACCTCGGATTGAAACATGTCCTATATAAAAGTTGTAGCTCTCAATGATATCCACAACTTTATAACTAACAACATTTCTATTAGAGATCGTTTACATCCCCGAACATGCATTACAAGTGATCAGATCTACTTTTAAAAACAAAATTTTGAGTTTTTTTTCAAATGACATGGATGGATACATGCCCCGTATCAAAGTCATAGAACTCAATCAGATCTACAACATTATAATTGAAAATATTTTCATTTCACAAAATTTACATGTTATAAAGTGAGATATATTTTGAAAAATGAAATTTTGAATTCTTCAAACAACATCGGATGAAGATATTTTCTATGTAAAAGTTATAAAACACGATGAAATCTATAACTATTTAGTTGATAATATTTTCATTTGAAGTCATTTAGGGTGTTAAATATATGTTAAATGATTCAGACAAGCATAGACAAAATAATAACATTGGGTTAGTAGTCAATATGTGTTAAGTAGGTGAGTTGGTAAGGGAGCTCTATATGGAGGTTGAGGTCTTAAGTTCGAATCTCACTTGTAGCATACAAGTTATATTGTGTGAAAAATTGTGAATTTGTAGGTAGTGATGTGTAACCATGTATAGGATGGCTAGTAAAATTCAAAATATTTTTTTGAGGTTTTTTGTTGCGTTTAAAATTCAAAAATTGTATTTCTTGCTTTGTCATCAGTGACGGGTCGTAAGTTACAACCCGTCAGAGATGAGTCATCAGTGACGGTCAGGTAGTTACGACACGTCACTGATGACTCATCTGTAACGGGTGACAAGTTTTAACCCGTCAGAGATGACTTATATACCGGTCAGAGATGGGTTATCTGTGACGGGTGTTTCATCCATCACAGGTGATTTTGTCATCAGTGACCACTAATCACTGACCAAGACCAAACCCGTCAAAGGTGAGGGTTTGGGTCCGTCAGAGATGACCTGGTCCGGCGTAGTGCGATTCGATGGGCATATACGGTTGACTTGACTTAGCCTATACCGCTTGTGGATCGAACAATGGGTTACTACACATTATTGGAGAAGAAGAAAGTTCAACGGAATTGAAACGACAGGTGATCTTACACACATACATAGATGAGCCAAACAGGCCTGGTGATCATCGACGTGGCAATTAATCGAGGACAGCTTCAAGGACGTCGAGCACCGGCGATGCCAGCCCGCCTGTTGCTAGGTTAATCGCGACCATGAAGCTTTTCTTGACGAGAAACTTGGTGATACCAGAGCTGCAGCTCCGCCGAACGATGGCAATGCTCTGAGCATCACTGGTAGTTCGGATGGCAGCGTTGCTGGTGCAAGGCTCTTTTTAGTTCCCAAAACAAAAAATTCCATGCTGTCACATCGAATGTTTAGACACATGCATGGAGTATTAAATGTAGAAAAAAAATCAATTACGCAAATTGTATATAAATTATGAGGCGGATCTTTTAAGTCTAATTGTGTCATAATTTGACAATGTGATGTTAAAGTAAACATTTGCTAATGATGGATTAATTAGGCTTAATAAATTCGTCTCGCAGTTTTTTTACGAAATCTGTAATTTATTTTGTTATTAGACTATGTTTAATACTTTAAATATTCAAATGTGTGTCCGTATATCCACTAAATCTAAAAAAATTTCCTGAACTAAACAAGGCCTTACTCCGCTAGGCCCGCTACCCTGACCGACACCACTTGGCGCGCCAGAGACGCAACGGATATGTAGCTTAAACAGACAAAAGCCACACTGGTAGTACCAAAGGTCCAAATCTTCACGGCAGGCGGAGCAGCGGCCCCATGAAGGGACCATGTGGATATCATGCTGCTGGTGAAGCGGGCTACGGATCGTTTGCGGGAGCAAAATGCAGAGAGGGTGCACGTCGAAGGCGCACTGGATGCAGCGGTACACGAAGTTTCCCCGGGGGCAATTCTCCCTGCAAAGGTCGCACGACCACGTGGTGCTTCCATCGGGTATGGAGCTCAGAGTGAGGGTATGCCACGGATGGGCGAAGAAGGAGATGGTCTTCTTGAAGTAATCGGCGCAGGCCTGATGGATGTCGAAGTCGCAGGCGTTGCAGCGGTAGCCGACGAGGCCGGAGAGCTTGGCTCGGCAGATGTCGCAGACATGGCGCGAGGTGCTGTCATACCGGGTCTTGAGAAGCAGGTGCTGTGGATGAGCGAAGTGTGTTATGTGGCCATCAGTTGCCATGTCTTCGGCTACGCTCAGAACACCCCAATCTCTCTCTTGGCCTAGTTTTTGGCTACAGTATTTCTATAGATCGATCAGACTACTCCACGGTTAGTGTCTGCGCTGCCTGTCTGGCTTCGGCGTGCCTCTAGGCGCTAAGCATACATTTATACTATCTTCACAGACTCACAGTCTACTACAGTAATGATGTGTTGTTTGACTCAGTCCCCATTTCTCTATGGAAAAAAGTCCAAATTACACCCTCTAATTATTGGATACTTGCAAATTAAACCCTAGACATGAAAATCATACATTTTTCACTCTCAACTATTAATATTTTCACGAACGCTCTATTAATATTAATATTGAATTTTTTTATTGAATGAAAATCCCCTTAACACAATCCAAAGTGGTTTTGGTCCTATATTATGGCAGCAAAGTCAATAATTTTCATAATAAATCAGTGGAAACCACCTGCAATAAGAGATGGACGGGTCCTACCAACTTTCGTGAACGCAGGGTACTACCATTTTTTTAAAAAAAATATTGACTAGTCTGCCACGTAGGATCAAAACCACTCTAAGGGCCCCTTTGAATCACAGGAATAAAAAAACGGAGGAATATGAAAAATATAGGATTTTGACAGGAATGTAAGTGTAAAAAAGAGGATTGCAAAACATAGGAAAAACATAGGAATGACCGTTTAATTGGACCACAGAAAAAATACAGGAATTTGAGGAGAGATAAAGACTCAAAGGATTTCTTCCATGAGGTTCTACCTCTTGTTAAAATTCCTCCAAAACTTGTATGGGAAGAGGCATTCCATAGGAATTTCATAAGATTCCATAGAGCTCATTCCTTTGATTCAAAAGGCTTTATAGGAAAAATTCCTATAGGAATGATAGCCATAAGTTGCTACACTTTGTCACACTTAAGGTTAGGCAAGTTTGATCATGTTAGGTTAGTGTTTGGTTGACTCCCACAAATGTGGCAAGATTCCTCTTTTGTAATCTAGGTCCCACATGTAAGTGACTCTAAAAAGTGTGGCATGGTTTCATTTTGTTGGCTAGAGTGTGGCTTGGATTTTGATGGCCTCACCTTTGGTAAGTTTAGCTAAGAAAACATGGTAAACCTAGGCAATGTTAGTATGTGAACCAAACAGCCCCGAAATCCTCTAAAATTATTATGAATTTCATTTGATTCAAAGGGGGTCTAAAGTCTAGGTGGTAATTTTTACTCGCTCAATAGTTCGGAGGTGTAATTCAAACTTTTTTTTCCTTTCCCTAGCACCAGTTGTTTCAGCGTATTATATAGTAATATGACCAGTGACAGGTCGTTCGTCTTTATGATAAAGAGCATTGCAATAGAAAAGGTAGTCTTATAAACTTCTTCCTTATAATGATTTCAACATTTTATTTAATTAGTCGCGAGTTATAAGAAAAATCAAGATTCGTTCATAACGTGACACAATCATCAACATTTTTATAAGAAATTAGTATGTAACCAACTCCACTGAAAACAATTACCGCATATTCTCTCCCTCTAAACTTCTGTCATATTGAGCGGGTGTGCTGGGAGCCTGGGATGGCCAAACTGGAGCCTGCAGTTTCTAGATAAGCTTCGCTCGTGTGATCTATGGTGCATCATGTTTAAGTTTGTTTTACAAACACACGTTCACTCATGCTTATAAACGCACACACGTATACCATATTTCTATGTACATATCCGAAAAACTGGACCGGCACATTTTTAGATTGACAAAGTCATCACGAATGTCTTGCTAACGACGGATACGACGTCTATCACTGAAAAAATAAATAGCCATAAATACGACTTGAAATTGGGTAGATTGATTCTACCAAAAGAACCTAACTAATTATGCTCACTTCGTTAAACCGGCTAATTATTTTTTTTAACGAACCAGTACAAGATAATACCGACATACTCCCTCCATTTCATAATATAAGACTTTCTAGCATTGCACACATCCATATATATGTCAATGAATCTAGTCACACATATATATCTAGATTCATTAGCATTTAAATGAATGTGGATAATGTTAGAAAGTCTTATATTATAAAATGGAGGAAGTATTATATGTAGTAAGAGTAAAACTATTTACAAGCATGTTTCTCTTACGCGTGTTGTGCTAGTTAGCTAGGCGAAAACAAGCTAAGGGCGTGTTCTAAACCAGGGATAAAAACAACACATTAGCTGCACGTAAAACGAGAAACATGATAAAAAAATAATTTAAGTAATAGTTATTTACAAATAAAAAATATTTATATAGCATTTTTAAAATAACTTCTATACATATTTTTTTTACGAAGTCTATCATTTAATATTTTGAAAAATATGCTCCTGAAATCGAGGAAACTAGAAAATTAGCGCGCCATATGACGCGCTAGATAACGCATGTAATTTTTCCAGGGTGTGTTTAGAATATGAAAATTTACAGGATTTTTTCAGAGTTATCTCGATTTTCATCAAATATTCTATTTTGCATATCATACTATTAGCCTAATCTCCTGCAGTATTTAAGTTTCGATTGACGATGCTCCTGTAGCGTTTAAGTTTCGATTGATGATGGACTATAGATGAAACTGGTGTATAACAATTATTTCAGAGCTTAAAAATATTATAAAGTTGATGTATTGATATAAAACAAATCAAATAATAAACCATAAGCTTGTGAAGCATGCCCTTTATAATCCATAATAGTAAGAGGAAAAAGAACACACCTAAAGGCTTATTCATTTTGATACCATTTTCAACCATACCATTTTTTTTTACAAAGTTACCAAAATTTTGGCTACATTTAGTCAGTCTGTTGCCAAATTTTAGTAAGTACATATGAAATCTTGCCAAAATTTAGTAACATTGCCAAAATTTTGGTAACTTACCAAAATTTGACTAAAATTTGGCAATACCAAAACTTGGTAAGGTTGAAAATGGTAGCAAAATAAACAAGCCCTAAGTCTTTTGCTTCATAATTATCTTGTCGATAAAAATGTATTCTATATTTTTTTTCATGCAGATTTTAAAAGAAGAAATTATAGTACAAAATTCCAAAGAGGACTAAATCCGTATATACTTCCTCCGTTTTTTAATAGATGGTGTCACTGACTTTTGAATACATGTTTGACCATTAGTTTATAAAAAAAATTATGCAAATGTATAAGATATAAATGTTGCTTAAAATACTTTGAGTGATAAAACAACTCACAATAAAATAAATTATAATTACATAAATTTTTAAATAAGACGAATGGTTAAACGTTTGATAAAAAGTAAACGGCATCATCTATTAAAAGTAGGAGGTAGTATGTTTTATCGGAAGTTGCCAATATATATGCGTTCTGACTCCTAGTAAAAATATTTCAGTCATTACCATATATTTATGCTGTCTTCCTCGATGCCGCCTTTCTCTCCGGCGCCTCACTTGTATCTGTAAGAGCCGGCCCTCTGCACCTTTTTTTTATGGATTTATATTTTTTTCCCAAACCAATTATGATTTATCTTCAATGAGACAGTTTAATGCCTCTTGGAGCCTAGATGTTGCAAACAGCTAGATAGTTGGAAGCATCTAGAATCTGTAATTGTTCTACTGGATACTTTTTCCCTCGAGTTATCTAGCACATGTGTACCAATAAGCTGGAGAAAGGTAGAACTATATAGATGGACACGTGGAAGGATTTCTGAGGTGTCTAGCTGAATTTTGAGGCTGCCACGTGGCCCAATGGCAAGCTAGAATCTTGGCCTTGAAATCGGTATTAAAGATAGCCGAGCTGATTCTAACAGGGCAGTATATACTGCCTATTGAGATTGACGTGCACCGGCCGACACGCCGTGATATATATAGTGTAGGATCGAACGCAAGAAACCAAGCCTACCAGAGGGGGATGAATGGTAGGGAAAACCAAAAACCCAAAAACTTTTAGCGGAAATAAAAGTTACCCTCAAATCGATGGAAATCTCGACGTAGTCCTGTCGCCGTCGCTGGTCGGACCGCTCGCACGCTGCCGGTCGAACCTCCTCCCTACCGCCTGAACCCGAAGAAACACAAATTGAAGAACTCTCAAAGTAGATAACAACTTTATTGCTTCTCTCTGTGTTTACAAAGTGCACCAACAGCACTCCTTACAAAAATCTCGACTAAACTCGAAACCCTAACTAAACTAGCAACTCAATTGCTCTCAAAGCGATACAGGGAAGCGATACCGGCACTACACTGGTCAAGATCACCTGTGACGGGCCCAAACCCTCACCTTTGACGGCTTTGGGCTTGGTCAGTGATCAGTGGTCACTGGTGAGTCCAGTCACTTTTGACGGGTGGCCGGCCGTCAGTGGTGACATCCACCTCTGACGGGCAAGTTAATAGAAGGCCGTCAGAGGTGTTGGTCTCAGCTAGCCTAGGGCCAGTTAGGACCCGTCACAGGTGTCTCATCTCTGACGGGCCCCTAAATAAAGGCCCGTCAGAGGTGATGATCTCCGGTATATAGTAGCGTCACAGGTGACCCACCTGTGACGGGCCTTTACTTTCGGGCCCGTGACGGTCCGACGTTTGCGACGGTCCATCACAGGTGAGGTTACCTGTGACGGATTTTTCTTCCGAACCGTCACTAATGAGTTAATTCCAGAAAAAAAAATAAATGCTAAATATTGGCTAGCCTCAGGAATTGCTAGCCATGCCCTCTGAAAAACAGAAACATCACAGGTGCCAATCACCATCCCATATCACATATTCTCCAACTGCCCAACATCACAGATGCATCACATATCACAGATCCATCACAAAGCAACAATTTACAACATCACATATGCAGCAATTTAATTTATTATAGCACACAATTCATACCCCATGAAAGTCCTCAAATGATTACCAAAATTTCTTGTATTCTGTTCGTTGTGAACCTCCACAACCTGTCAATAAGGAAAAAAAAAGGAGAAAACAGATGAATAGTACAACGTAAATCGTAGTTGATCAAATTTGATGACAATTTAGTAAACTACCATAAATATTGCACATATGAAAGTAAATTACATTGCACTCCATAAAAACATATTTTTTTACATCACAAGAAATTATAAAAACATCTTTTTTACATCACAATAAATTA